TGAGCCGTGCCTTTAATGTTTTGCCATTGATTTTGCTTTAGTCTGGCAATACCTTTGTTTTGCCCAGTCATTTAGCCTCAGCAGCAGTGTTGTTGTCTTGTGTTTTTGTTGATTTTGGTAGTTCTCAGTAGTTTTGGCTTTGAAAAAAACAGCCCTACTTCAGTGTTAAGTAGTTAGTGATCTCTGGCATGATTTGTTTGACTAAAAGGATTTTGTCTTGTTTTGGCATTAATTTTATTTTGCCAGTATTTGTTTTTGTTGTTTTAGCAGGGATTTTGTTTTATCAATGATTTTATGTTTTGTGAATATTTGGTTTAACAGTGGTTTTGTTTTGTTTTGGCAGCAATTTTGTTTTAACAGTGGTTTTGCTTTGTATTGCAATGATTTTATGTTTTGACAGAGATTCTGTTTTGGCAGGTTTTGTTTTGGTGATGATTTTGTTTTGTTTTTCTAAATGGTTAGTTTTGCATTAATTTGAGCATTGCCTTTAATGTTTTGGCATTAGTTAGTCTGCCAATATTTTTGTTTTGGCAGCAATCCTGTTTTATCAGTGGTTTTGTTTTGTATTGCAGTGATTTTCTGTTTTGGCAATGACTTTGTTTTGAAAGCATTTGTTTTGGTGATTTTGTTTTGCTTTTCTAAATTGTTGTTTTTGCAATTCTATGTTGTTTTGGCTTTGAAAAAACAGCACTACTTCACTTTTAAGTAGTTAATGGTCTCTGGCATGAAAATGCAGGCAGGTGTAATGCTCATTTACTGCATTTGGCTTCTACAGGAGGTTCATGTCTACTTGCTTGTATTGGCAATCATTTTATTTTGCCAGTTTTTGTTGTTATTTGTTTGATTAAAAATTTTATTGTCTTGTTTTGGCAATTTTATTTAGCCAGTATTTTTTGTTGTTGTTGTTTTTTTTTTTGTTGTGACTGTATGTTTTAATTCGGCAATGATTTTATTTTAGCAGTGATTTTATGTTTTGTGAAATATTTCTTTGTTTCATCAAATTCTGTTTCATCAGTGGTTTTGTTTTGTATTGCAGTGATTTTATGTTTTGGCAGTGATTTTGTTTTGAGGGGTTTTGTTTTGGTGGTGGATTTTGCTTTGATTTAAGAAATTGTTGTTTTTGGATTGATTTGAGCTGTGCCTTTAATGTTTTGCCATTGGTTTTGCTTTAGTCTGGTAATATTTTTGTTTTGCCAGTCATTTTGCTTCAGCAGCAGTGTTGTTGTCTTGTGTTTTTGTTGATTTTGGTAGTTCTAAGTTGTTTTGGCTTTGAAAAAAACAGCACTACTTGAGTGTTAAGTAGTTAGTGGTCTCTGGCATGAAAAGGCAGGCAGGTGTAATGCTCATTTACTGCATTTGGCTTTTTCCACAGGAGGTTTACATCTACTTGCTTGTTTGTTTTCTCCAGAGATGACTTACAGCGAGAGTGCTGAGGTGGAACCATTTGTATAATCTGCACATCAATGACACGATAATTATGTTGTATCGCTAAGAGCCTGCTAGAGTATCGGTCCAGAATAAATCCCACCTGAAGGGCTTTTATATTTAGTTACTCTCTCTGTCACGCTGTGCGCATATAGACATTAAGATCAGTCGCCTACATTCACGCTCTTAATACACTCATGTCTTGCTGTGCTCGTCTCCGCGGGTCATATCATCATAAGTATCCTTCTCTTTACATTAGAGCGGATGCATAATGGCCAAAGCAATGAAAAGCTGCACTATGAATTCACAATGAACCGACGCAGAAGTTCTCAGTGCTTTGTCTCGTTTTGTTCTGGTGCGCATTACATAAACCGAAACGGCTTCTGTCAGGATAGATGATGCACATCTAGGTGGTGGATTTCGATGACTCTGATAGATGTCCTGTTTGATTAAGCTCACTTTGTTACGTCAGGATAAACACTTGGCCTGATTTAAAGTGACAGCTGCTTTGTAGCAAGGAAGAGCTTGTTTTTTGGTGGTATTGTTGTAAGACAGGAGGGTCAGACTCATTATGGGCTGAGGATCAAAACGCATTATGTTGGCTGCATTTGATGCATATTTGTTTGTTTTTTTACACATTCTTTTACATTTGTGTACTAAGGTGAATATTTTTGGAAATTATAGGGTGTCTAACTGTATTTATACATATTTGAAGAGTGTTTTAGACAAAAAAAAAAGTTTAATTGCAAAATTATTAACCTATTTTGAACTGTTTCTGACTGTATTTCTTTTTTTTGTGATTATTTATTTATTGCAGAACAAAGCCAGCATACATAGCTAGCAACAACTATATACTGTACAAGCCAGGGTTTGCATTAAATGACAAATGACCTTCATACACCATTAATATGATATAACTTATCTTTCAGTACACTTTAGTTTATCTAGTTATCATATAGGAAATGTTCTCAATTAAATCAGACCATGCTTTGATTGTTTGGGGTTTAGCTCTGTTAGTTATTGCTTTGGAACGTTCTAACAGCGCAATATTTTTTAGTTCTATATGCCACATTTTGTTTGCTGGGAATGCGGGTTCATGCCAAATTTTAAATACAAACTTTTTGGCTGTAGCTAGTGCAGTATGAAATGTCCTACAATGGAAAGTGTTTAAGTGTATTTCTATGTTTTGACAGCTTCTTGTTCCTGTCGATGTTCATCACTCCATTTATCATAATTAAACTCAAATAAAATTAAACCTGTTTGTTTATTTTTCTTTTTTTTATTTATATTCAAAAGGGAAGCGAGTGAAGCAAATAACAGAGTAGTGGGAAGAAGCAGAGGAAATAAAACTACATATGTTTACCTGCTGGCTTTCGTGGAAATAATATACAGTTTTTAGAATTATTAGCCCCCCTTTGATTTTTTTTCTTTTTTATATAGTTCCCAAATTGTGTTGAACAGCAATTTTCACAGTATGTCTGATAATATTTTTTCTTCTGGAGAAAGTCTTATTTGTTTTATTTTGACTATTTTTTATTTTGACTAAATTAAAAAAAAAACATTTTAGGGACAAAATTATTAACCCCTTTAAGCTATATATTTTTTTGATAGTCTACAAAACAAACCATCATTATACAATAATTTTCTTAATTACCCTAACCTGCCTAGTTAACCAAATTAACCTAGTTAAGCCTTTAAATGTCACTTTAAGCTGTATAGAAGTGTCTTGAAAAATATCTAGTCAAATATTATTTACTGTCATCATGACAAAGATCAAATAAATTATTAATATAGATGAGTTATTAAAACTATTATGTTTAGAAATGTGTTGAAAAAAATCTTCTCCCCATTAAACAGAAATTGCGGAAAAAATTAAACAGGGGGGTGAATGATTCAGGGGGGCTAATAGTTCTTTAAATTCTTCAACTGTATATATTTGTTTAACAGAAACAGAACGAGCAGGAATATGATATTTTCCTTACTCTTATCCAAACTTTAGTCTTGTGCTCACCGGGTCGATTATCAAACTACGTATTTATCTCCGATGTTTACCACACCATGATTAAATGTGTAGAGTGCCAGTGTGAATGTGCAAACCAATGCACATTAATTTTCAAAAAGAACAACAACAACAACGTCTTGGGGTCTTTTTTATTTATTTATTTTATTTATTTTTTTTTTTAAGAAGCGAGTTGTCTGTAATTAACAATGAGATTGTTGATTTTGTTGAACCGCTGAAGTTATAGCAAAGCACAGCTTGGTGGCCCTCAAGCACAAAACATGAGTCTTTAGGCTTTTTTTCAGTGTGCAAGTATACACTACCTGACAAAAGTGTTGTTGTCAATCCCAGATTCTAGTTGATCACTTAGAAAAGTGGCTGAAGGTAGATTTTTCTGATGAATCATCTGTTGAACTGCATCCCAATCATCACAAACACTGGAGAAGACCTATTGGAACCCTTATGGACCCAAGATTCTCACAGAAATCAGTCAAGTTTGGTGCAGGAAAAATTATAGTTCGGGGTTACATTCAGCATGGGGGTGTGCAAGAAATCTGTCACTTAAAACAACAAATAACTATTTTTTGTCAGAAGTGGCTTATATGAAAGGCAAAAGCTTCTAGATTACGCTTATTTTACCCAAAAAATAATAATAAAATAAAAAAATAAATGATCATGCCTTGATTTTTAATTATTTAATTAAGACAGTAAAGTCTGACTTTGCTTAGACAAAAGTCTTGTCACTGAACAGAAATAATGTCCAGTCCAGACTATAATGTCATAGTGCAGTGGACACAGAATTAATATTATGTATGACTCCCATGAGCTTGGAGGACTGCATCCATACATTTCTGCAAAGAATCTAATAACTTATTAATGAAGTCATCTGAAATGGCAAGATGTTCTTGCAAGACTCCCAGAGTTCATCAAGATTCTTTGCATTTATCTTCAATGCCTCCTCCTTCATCTTACCCCAGACATGCTCAATAATGTTTATGTCCGATGACTGGGCTGGCCAGTTCTGGATCACCGTGACTGTCTCCTGTGGTTTGTAATGTAATGGGCAGCACAAATGTCTTGATACCTCAGACTGTGGCTTTTCCTTCACCAAACTTAACTGATTTCTGTGAGAATCTTGAGTCCATGCTAGTTCCAATAGGTCTTCTGTAGTGTTTGTGACGATTGGGATACAGCTCAAAAGCTGATTAATCAAGAAAATCTACCTTTTGATCAACTAGAAGTCAAGTTAATATTTGTTTGCCTTTACAACTGGGATCAACGACTTATCTTTTGTCAGGTAGTGTAGAGTAATTTTATAAGTATCGCTCAATTTGATTGGTTTTTTTTTTATCAAAATCTCCTTTAACTTTGGTTTGTATTTCATAATTTCAGCTTGACTTAAAATTCCAGCTCTTTTTAGATGAAAAGTATAAGATCAAGCTTAAAGATTATCCACAAACATGACGAAACGGTGTGCCAAACTTCAACAGACTAACCCAAGCTCCAGTCATAATAGTGCATAATGAGAATACTAGTCTATCAGCTCCTTTATCTAAAATAAATCTCATATTTCTAGAAGACTCCGTCGCCGAAGGCTCAGACGAATCCACCGTGGGCCGCAGCTACGTGAAGAAGAAGCTTGAACATGGCTTAACGCGGATCTGGCAGGTAAAAAAAAAACGTGCTCATTTACTCTCCTCTGTCTCTGTTTGTTCTCCGTTCCTCCATTAGCTTCATGACTCGCCCTCTCGCCCTCTATCTGCCCGCAGGACGTCCAATTGAAAGTGAAAGCCTATTTGCTGGGAACTGACATGTCCAACTTCAAGTACGACGACTTCATTGTGGTTCTGGATGTTATCAGCAGGTAGAAACCCACTTCGCTCATTAGCGCTAATTGGATTGGCCCTTCGGGGACCGACTGCGCCCCCGTCCTCTTCAGCCTCATGAGAAACTCCCCTAAAGAGAACTCGGGGCCAGGGGGGCATCAATGAAACCATTTGTTCTCCTGCGCTTGTCCCCATTAACAGGGCTCAATTAAAAGGCCATTTTGCGTGTGAAAGCGCAGACCTCTGTATTGATCCTGCCTCGGGGTCGCTGACTTGTGCGAATAGAAGCACCATGTCCTGCTCTCAGAGGGACATGTGATTTGAAGAAGCTCTTTTTGGGGGGGTTAATGAGAATGTTTAGGCATATTTTATGATATTGATATTCTTGTTTTTGCTCTCAGGTTGATGCAGGTGGGAGAGGAATTCTGCGGCAGTAAGTCTGAGTTGTTGCAGGAGTCCATTAAGAGACAGAGCGTGAACTACTTTAAGAACTATCACAGGTGAGATAAACAGCCCGCGGCCGAGCTGACAATCATTTCCAGGAGGGATTCACTGGTTAATATGTGTTATAATATGTGGAGTATTTGTTTTTTTAAATATATATTGGCTTAGCTGGAAGTTAGTAGCACTTTGCGTTTTTCCAAATAGAGATGAATAAATAAGGAAACCAATGTCTTTTTCTGTTGACTTTCGTGCTTATAGTGCATCATTTTTGCATTCCTATTTTAAAGCAATTTTCACATTAAATTTAAAGCAATATTATCTAAAAATCTTTAGTTGTTGATGCTTAATTTTTGGAGTATTCTAGCAAATGGATTTGCTCAAATTTATTGCTTAGTGGTAGGCTGTGTTCACACCAGACACTGAACGCGTGGATAAATCCCGTGTGAACATTTGAGTGTAATCACTTCATTCGAGCGTCAAACCCTGCTTCATTCGCGTGTCAAATCCGCTTCATTCGCACGTCAAATTCCCTTCAGAACTGACGCGGATCTGTGTGATGGGCAGGGCTTCTGTCTGCCCGGTGACTGTAGCTTCATTGCTAAATGGCTAACATGGATTTTATTGAGAAAATAACAGTGTTTATGTGTTCATTCATTCATTCATTTTCTTGTCGGCTTAGTCCCTTTATTAATCCGAGGTCGCCACAGCGGAATGAACCGCCAACTTATCCAGCAAGTTTTTACGCAGCGGATGCCCTTCCAGCCGCAACCCATCTCTGGGAAACATCTACACATACACACACACATTAAAACACTACGGACAATTTAGCCTGCCCAATGCACCTGTACCACATGTCTTTGGACTGTGGGGGAAACCGGAGCAACCGGAGGAAACCCACGCGAACGCAGGGAGAACATGCAAACTCCACACAGAAACACCAACTGAGCCGAGGATCGAACCAGCGACCCAGCGACCCTTCTTGCTGTGAGACGAACGTGCTACCCACTGCGCCACTGTGTCGCCGTTTATGTGTTTATGAAGGCTAAAAACAGCATCGATACGTTTAGGGCAGTGTCTGAGTTCACTAGATCCTTTCAAAGGTGCATCCAGCTCTTTGAGCTCATAAACTCCTCCAAAAACTGAACCTGGATGATGGAAGCTTTCAGCGGTGCTTCTGACTGAGCTGAGCCCAGTTTGATGCACTTTTTGTCGGTGACGGCTGGAGGACTTCTCCCGGGACACCAACAACAGGCGATACGTCACAACCACGCCCCCACAAGAGCAAGCTTCTGATTGGTTAACGTGGCGCGGATGTCTGCTGAAGTTCAGATTTTCCAACGATTCCGAGCGATTCTAACTGGTTTAGTTAGACTGACTGTAAAGCATAACCGAATGTATTTACTTGAGATAGATACTCCGCAACACTGGATATTGTGTTAACTGCTCGCGTAGGCTATTTGATTTGTTCGCACACTGTCTTAGTTATATTGTGTGATGGAAGGATTCACCGCTGAGACGCGATTCAGTTATGAGTCCATTCAGTATGATTTCGCCTATCTGGTACTACATGTAAAAGTGTATCAATGATGAAGACTACTTGGTTAACCTAACGTTGACTGGACTGTTTTCACGGTAGTGCAGAAAAAATAAGAGACTGTCCTGGAAAAATTTGGACATCTGATCAGCCTTATGGGTGACTAAAACAGGGCTATTCAATATTGTGATTGGGCTACAGCCTCTCTGAGCCCCAGTTTAGCTCCGGCGTCACTGTTTTTGAAAAGCAGCGAAGCGAAAGGAATAATTCACATTATTAATGAGAGAAAGCATAACGCAGGTGTTTCCCTCGTCATAGCACAAATTAATTCTTCAGCCAATTAAGGGCCTCCTTTTTCCGTGGAACCTGGGGCTTCAGCCCCACCTAGCCCTTACGTTAATCTGGCCCTGTCAACTGTTTTAAGAAAAAAAAAAACATTTTGGGTGTTCAATTCCATCCCAGAGATTATTTTATTTAGTTCTTTCTGTTTAAGTTCAGGGTTTATGTCAGTGTCAAACACTACGTTTATTTACAATTTACCAAAGCAATGGTCAATGATGGGTTTTTCTTTTCAGATTGATTTATTAATTGCAAGATTGCTTTAATGAGATATCTTTAACCTCATCCTGTCCTTTGTTGTGTCAGTTTTGTTGCAGTTTAACTTTATAAACACACAAAAAGTATTTAACGGATTTGTCAATCCACTAGTTTTTTTTAGTGTAAATAAAAAAATCTAAAATGTATTTACAGTGGTTACTTATTATTCATGGGTGTTACGTTCTAAAAACAACCCGCAATAGGTGAAATCCGCTAAGTAGTATGCTTTATTTTTACAGTCCAACACTTCAGAGTCACATTGATAGCGATCGATGATTAAATTTGGCTAGCTGTATGCACTCTGTGCTGTACAGGAGACACGGCACGGAGGAGATTGATTGACAATGGTCTACAGCCAATCAGGACGCAAAACACAATGCAGTAATCAGGACACAGGACACAATATGCTGTCGGAAAAAAGCATGTCAAGTTACACTAAAAAATCTGCAAAACAACGAGGCCACGAAAAGTGAACCACGTTTCACTGTATATGAAAACTAGAAAAATGGCCTAGCATAAGTATTTTCCGGACTGAAAAAAACAACAACACATATACGAAGGACATCCGCTGTGTAAAACATATGCTGGAATAGTTGACAGTTCATTCCACTGTGTCGACCTCTGATAAATAAGGGACTAAGCCAAAGGAAAATGAATGAATGAATGAACGAATAAATTAATTTAATAATTAAAAACCCAACTTCAAGATGAAATAAAAATTAAAAATGCAGACACGTTTCCGTGTTTTAGCACTCATCCCTGCAGCCCTCTGTTGTTTCCTCTGATATTGTTGTTTATTTGCACTCTGCATTTTTCATTTAGTCGACTGAATAAATGAATTATGCAAATGAGCTAACACTGCAAACGTGCCTAAATAAATCTGCACGTTTTCAATGTCACAGTGTTCCTGTGGAATAAAGTGTATCATGGCTCTTTCAACACCCAAGGTCATGAGTGTAGAATATATTATGTAAATATAATAACTACATCACATCCTCTTTTGTGTTAATAGATACAGTATACAATCACATATTAAACTGATTATGACTAACAGTAATTACTGCATTCAGATACTGTCCACATTTCAGTTTTGGGTTGCGCTCTATTATAAGGTGATGTATTGACAGTGTGATTCAATTATCTGGTGAGTCCCAAATGATTCATGTATCTAGTGAATACTATGAATTAATCACATGTACCTACTATTTGGCCTGGGTTATAATGTGGGTTCGATTTAAGGTTAGATACATGCAATTAGGCATAATTCATTGTAATTATAGTGAGTGGATGGAAGATGTAAAACAACATCACTTCAAATTACACTGTTAACTTTAATGTGCTTGAATATATCTTAAATGGTACAATGTAAGCAAAAATGATGATAATAATAACAATAATAGGCGGCACGGTGGTTCATTGGTAAGCACTGTCACAACAAGAAGGTTGCTGGTTCAAGTCCCAGCTGGGCCAGTTGGCATTTCTGTGTGAAGTGTGCATGTTCTCCCCATGTTGGTGTGGGTTTTCTCTGGGTGCTCCGGTTTCCCCCACCGTTCAAAAACATGCGCTAGGATGAGTGTGTATGGGTGTTTCCCAGTACTGGGTTATGGCTGGAAGGGCATATGCTGGAATAGTTGGCGGGTAAATGAATGAATGAATAATAATAATAATATTGTATTTAAGTGGCTGGCACATACTCATTGTGTTCTCTGTACTGTGGCTAGAATAATGCAAGGGATGGCCAGCCTGGCTTTTGTTCGCACTGCTGGCAAATTGGATTTGATTTTCAAATTGGATCTACAGGATTGATTGTCTCCACATTGTCTTTGAGCAAGTGTTGAAATCTGATTTAGTGCTCTGAATCTGGTAGATCTACATCAGTTGCTGCAGTAAGGATGTACGTCAGGCCAATGCCAAGAGACTACAGCAGTGGGTAGCTGTCAATGAGAGAACAGAAAGCTGTAAACTGTTGTCTAATTTTGCTCATGTCCTTCATAACATCTTGCCATTGTGCTGAACCCACGAGATGCTGGAAACAACATAAATGACAAAGTGATTTTAGGCATTTGAGCATATTCTGTCCAAAACTGCTGACTTGTTATTTACACCCCGAATGTTGCTTACTTCACTATGTGGGGGGAGTATATTTAGATGGAGATTATTCTGAATAATGAACATTTTAATGCACGCCAAAAATAAGATGCTTTTTGGAGATGACTGTAAAACAAAAGTGAATTGCTGCTGGAGTCAACTGTACAAATACTGTTTCTGCTGAGATGGAGGATCTTGACATTGTTTCTAAATATTCAAGAAGTTGGATAGCTGACGTATTTCCAATAAGACCATAATTGGACCATTCAATATTTAATTTAAGTCATCGTGAACAGGAAGTTGCTGAGACTTTTATTTTCGTATGTCGATGTACACCCAACTGAAATCGAATATTGAGTTGGGGCGGGGCTTTCTTTTTGCATATTATTTACTTCTAGCAAACTAACGGTAAGAGAGGTGTGGTTTAGAATATTGTAGCTGAAGCCATGAAACATGGAAGGAAATAGTCAGGTTTTGATTGAAGAGTATCAGAACCAATGCCAAGAGACTACAGCAGCTGGTAGCTGTCAATGAGAGGACGGAAAACAACAAAATTTGTCTCATTTTGCTCCTTCATAACATGTTTCGTTGAAGATGCTTGAAACAACATAAATGACAAAGTGATTTTAGCCATTTGAGCATATTCTGTCCAAAACTGCTGACTCAGAATTTAAATCACCGAATTGTTTTTTACTTGGTGAGTGTATTTAGATGGAGGTTATTCTGAATAATGAACACTTTGATCCATGCCAAAAATAAGAAGATGATTTTTGGAATTGAAGATTATCAAAAGAAACATTTTTTCCCCAGTGGATTAATTTGCATGGATTCAATGTTCATCTAAAAAATAACAACATGCGCTAGCAAAATAAATGTTAACATTTCAGTTTAGGTCAGAATTTATGCTATTAATTTCTGGCTTATTGCCTGCTTATTATTAAAATATTAACTGTTCATTAGTAGTTATAAAGTATGATCTTATTCTACATCCGTAATCCCACCCAAAATCTAATCTATCTTCGACCTTACTAACTGTTAATAAGCACCTAATTTCCTAGCTTATAAAGCCAGTGGTGTTAGTTAATGGTTTGTTAATACTATGAATTGTAACTTAATATAAAGCGTTATCAAATAAACATTGTAATTGTACATTGTAAAACATCCAAATTCCCAATAAGTGAGGATTTGAAAAGTCAGATCCATTTTGATTTTGCTTTAAAAGTATATTTACAGAGTGCAGTATTGCAGGCTTTGTATGCACCGTACTGTATAATCTATTTTAAGAGAGAGTTCACCCAAAAATAACAACTCTGTATTCATTTTCTCAGTTTTCACTTGTTTAAAGCTTATTTCAGTTTCTTTCTTCTGTTGAACACAAAAGAAGATGGTAGGTAGCACTCATTGACTTCCATAGTATTTTTTTTCCTACAATTGAAGTCAGTGGGTGCCAGAAACCGGCAGTCCTCAGAATATCTTCTTTTGTATTCAACAGAAGAAAGGAAAAGTAGATAATGATGTAATTAAAACATTTTGGGGTGAACTATCCCTTTAAATCATTTATAAAAAAAAATCTGATATGGATAAATGTCCCCGCTGCTATAGTCAGCAGTGAAAAGACCTTTTCTGCTTGATGAGATGGAGGACATTGAAAGAGGGCGTCTTACCATTATTTCTGAATATTCAAGCAGTTGGACAGCATCCATAAAGCGATTATCTGTCACTCTTCTGAATGCTTAATCTCTGCTGTCGCCGTGTCGCCATTAACACATTTTGCCATTACAATACACATTGTGCCCTCTGGCTTAGAGGACAAAACGATCCACTTTCCCTTCAAGTGCTTTGAAAATGATGCATTTAAAATATCATGCATTGAAGTCATAACTACAGATGGTATTTCGAATGTCAAACACCCTGCTGTTGGCTACACTTTATTCAAATTTAGAGAGCTTATAGCAACTTATAATCAGGTGGTATGTTCTATAGAGATTAGTTGAGGACTTCATTTTGTTGCATTCATTGTGAATTATAATGCCGGTTTTTGACATTTTGCACAAGCCTTTTGGTATTGACCTTGTCTGGCAGCGGGCCACTTTGACACTCATTGTAGCAGGACGTACCTCTAACCTTCTTCACCCATCGACTTTTCCTTGGATCGTTTTTTTTGCCAGCCCATTTCATTTTCATTGAGTTGAATGGCAAAGGGTCTCCAGCTCACAAAAGCCTACCTCTTGTCATTTCTCCCCTACAGAACTCGCCTGGAGGAGCTGCGAATGTTTCTTGAAAATGAAACGTGGGAATTGTGCCCTGTGAAGTCCAACTTCAGTATCGCCCAGCTCCACGTAAGCCTTAATGTCATTGAGAGTTGTTTAAATTGATGAATTACAAATCAGATTACTGTAATTGAGTAGTTTTCCTCAGGAATTGTATTTTGCATTGATAAAGCCTTGTTTAGACTGCATGACTTTAAACATCGGCAGATCGCTGTGCCGTTCAAACTACATCACCGGATTTTGTCTTTAAATCACTGTTGTGTTCATACTACACAACACTTCGTAAATGATCCACAAGATGGGGTCACACTACATGATCCGACAACAACTCGTTCGCCAACAGCTCAGTCAAGCTACCAATCCACAGCCAATGAAATGTTGAGGGAGGAGCCGGCAGAAAAACTGAATACTATTGGCTGCCTGTGTGCTGATTACATCCCTGACAGCGTTTCAAACTTCTCTGAAAGCTTTCAAGGGAGATCAATCGCTCATCTGTTATGTTTAATGGGATAGATGTGGCTTTAACACTAGTACTACAGAGGCAATAAGACAGTTTTTAATTTTTATTATTTAATAACTCTATAACACCCTGATGTTTCCTAAACCTCTGTGTATTTCTTTTTAGCAGTGTTATTTTTTAAATTTAAACAGAGCAGAACTGAGTATTTCTATCTTTAATTACCATATTGGTCAAAATGACTGCATGCACGTTTGCTACTTTTCACTATGACGTTAAATATGCTGGCCTTTTTTGCCTAGCAACTTCCTGCTAACAATAACATAAATTTACTTCTGATATAACTTTCAAAACAAGATATTCTGTTCCGCGAAATAGCTCCTGTTTATGAAAGTGAAAATGAAAACAAGGAACAGACCCTTACGGGTGTTCTAATATCTTAACTACACATTTATAGGCTGTATTAATAAAACAGATAACATTTTTAGGGTAATGGTGTCGTAAAATATTTTATTATCTCAATAGCTTTTAATGTATATTTGATGTGACAAAACGACGTCTAATATGAGAACGGTCAGAACGAATGCTATGAAAATTGGTAACTGCTCTGGAATATTCAGAATGCTAGATTTTGGATTTTCCTCTGCGAGGTGTTGGCGATGCCTCAGCGAGCCTCATTGACTGCAATTGTACATTGTAAAACATCTGAATTCCCAATAAGTGTGGATTTGAAAAGTCAGATCCATTTTGATTTGGTCTTAAAGTGTCTTTGCAGAGTGCAGTATTAGTATGCATCAAGCTACTGTATGATTTATTTAAAGAGAAATTTCACCTAAAAATGACAAATCATTTTCTCTGTTTTCACTTGTTTAAAGCTTATTTCTTTCTTCTGTTAAACACAAAAGAAGATGGTAGGTAGCACTCATTGACTTCCATGGTATTTTTTTTCTCCTTCCATTTTTTTTACAATGGAAATAGATGGATGCCAGAAATGGCAGTCCTCAGAATATCTTCTTTTGTATTCAACAGAAGAAAGGGAGAGGAGATAATGAGGTAATTAAAACATTTTGGGGCGAACAATCCCTTTAAGTCAGTTATAAAAATAAATCTGATTTGAATAAATATCCCCGGTGCTATAATCAGCAGTGAAAAGATTATTTCTGCTTGATGAGATGGAGGACATTGAAAGAGGGCAACTTGTTCAGGGCGTTGTTCAGTAGTTCACACATAAAGACTGCTGAGCACCCCCAGATTTTTTCTCGATCACAGCACGATCTGTCGGCAAGCTTTCGAATAGAGCTTAAAATCCTGTAGTGTGAACTAGGCTTAAACAGTTATCACAAGCTAAGACGCTTTAGTAGTGCTTTTTAGCATTCAGCATTTAGTAAATATACTGTAAGTAAAAAAGTCACCAGTGTTACCAGTTGAAACCTAAAGTGGTGATAAGGTAACCTATAAAAGACTATACAGCGGGGAGTATTGAATATGTCTCCATTTTTTCTCAGAAAACATATTTCTGACGGTGCTGTTGACTTGAAATGTTCACCAGATGTTGATAACAACCAAAGAAATCCATATATACAAAAAAAACTCAAATCTAATTAATTTACAAATGAATTTATGTGTAATAAATGAAATCACACTGAGAAAAAGTATTGATTACATGAAGATAGGGAGGTGTAGAAAGGCAGTGAAAGCCCAGGCAGCAGCTGAAATCGCTCAGTAGTTCTTTAGCAACTCTCTGCTCTGTGTCATTGTAAATTAATGTCAGCTACTTCAGTCCAACATCTACATTCGCAGTAGGATGAAGATGAAACCAGGGTGGACATTTCAGCAAGACAATGATCCAAAACACAGTCAAGGAAACTCTCAAATGCTTTCAGAGAAAGAAAATCAAGCTGTAGAATGGCCCACCCAATCACCTGAGCCAATCCAATAGAGAATAGAAAATATAGATCAGATTTAATAGACCCACAGAACCATCAAGATGTTTCCACTCTGTTGAAGTCTGTGAAAAATCACACATGAGCAATTCATGTCATTTCATTCTCCATCCGAGAGGCGTCTTTAAGCTGCCGTCATTTAAAAAAGCCTTTTATATAAAGTATTAAATACGTTTTTAATAGTTCAGTACTTTCTGCCTATGTCATTCCCTTGTTATTACACATAATACATTTTTCATGGCGTGTTCAATACTTATTTTCCTAGCTGTAGTTTACTCTATGCTTCCTGTACATATCCTGCGTCAGAAAGTGTTCTTTATGCGAGCCCATACTGAGATAATAAGCTAAATCCACAGTGTGTGCTATTCTAACCAAATAGTAGACATTTTTTTGTTGATCATCTTCCTTCAGATTTTCCGTCTTGCTGTAATGGGCTGCTTTTATATGCATTTTAAATCTAACGAAAAGCTTGACATCTTGATAAATGAGGGTAAGCATCATCACTGATTGTATTCCAGCATAAGCTGTTTTCTCTCCTAGTCAGGGTACATCCGTCTCAAAACAAATTACACTGTGGAACGCAGGAATATTCACCCGAGAGTATCTGCCGAATAAACCGAAATGCATCTCTTTCAATTATTCTATGCTAAACAGGGTCTCACTCTTGATAAACTGTTCTCTGATGGACCTTTTAAGCAGTTTTTTGTGCTGAATATACAGGTGTTTTCTTAAAGAACTGCACTAGAGAAAATGGGTATTGAAAAGCACATGAGTGAATGGCGTAATCAACGGTGCTCTTTAATGAGGCACATTTCCATAACGATTTCTTGCCGGAGCTCTGATGCGCAGAGTGGTTGAACTATGAGAACTATGCTATTGTGCTTTCACCTTTGCATCTTAGTTCTTGTTTTTTATGACTAGTATATTCAGAATTTTCAATACAAATCTTAATGCATCTGTAATATTTATCAAATACTCCTTGAATGGTTAATAAACACAAACACGCAGTATCATTAAATCCAGTCTTTCACTGCTGATGGCGCAAACACAAATTAATACATCGTTAGCAAACAAACAACATACTCAAAAAACAAGTGCAGGTGGGTGTTTTCATGACCTGTCTTTTAGTTGTTTGATCTGCATGTTTCTCTTCTTTTTCAGGAGTTTAAGTTCATGGGTCAGTGTCGTTCTCCTTCAGTGTCTCCCAGCAGGCAGCCAGAATCCACAGATCTGCTGGAGCTTTCTCTGTTCGAGCAGTACCTGGAGGGTGGAAACCCCTTCGAGATGCAGATAGACAACAAAGAAGAGGAGACTGAGGACGTCCTGGCTTCTAATGGGGTATATAGTAGTTTGAATGATGGTCATGTTATGTACAGTTTTATATACTGTTGAATATACAATTATTAGCCCTTACTGAATTATTAGTCCTCCTGTATAATTTCCCTCTAATTTTTGTTTAACGGAAAGATTTTTTTTTTCAATTTCTAAACATAATAGTTTTAATAACTCATTTCTAATAACTGATTTATTTCATCTTTGCCATGATGACAGTACATAGTATTTTACTAGATATTAAGAGTGATATTTAAAGGGTTACCTAGGTTAATTAGGTAAGTTAGAGTTGAGCTTAAAATGTTTTTTTTTTTTTTATCAAAAGCTGCTTTTATTCTAGCTGAAATAAAACAAATAAGACTTTCTCCAGAAGAAAAAATATTATAGGAAATACTGTAAAAAATCCCTTGCCCTGTTAAACATCATTTCGGAAATATTTAAAAAAGAAACAATTCACAGGAGGGCTAATAATTATGTCTTTAACAGTAGATGGTGAAGGGTGAGTAAATGATGACAGAATTTCCATTCAGTCAAAAACAGGCTTTTAATGAAAGTGTCAATTTAGAAATTGTAGGTTTTTTCAACCTAAACATACAGAAAACTATTTAAAATATCTCATTGCAGTTCATTAATTTGTGTGTGTAAATTTCAGTGAGCACATACACCAAACCTTACCAATTTATTCGTATCCAAATTCTGAAGGTTAATACAGGCGGAAATGTTATTTGCCTGATTTTGGACAAAACTGAAAATGCTGTATTTTTAATACAGTGATAAAGTTATTTAAAAAAAAAGCAACCTAAAATACTACATATTGAATTATATACTCTATATTTAAATTTAACAGTTTAGAAAACTTGAAATACAAAATTGATTTCCTACTCTTAATCAATCAACCAGGGTAGAGTGTGATGATCGCTAGGCGATAATTCGATAGCGATAATTATCATGATATATACAGTTGATTCTAATTATTATTTTTTAATATTTCCCAAATAATGTTTAACAGAGCAAGGAAAATTTCACATTATGTCTGATAATATTTTTTCTTCTGGAGAAAGTCTTATTTTTTTATTTTGGCTAAAAGTTAGTTAATAGTTTTTAATTTTTTAAAAATCATTTTAAGGTTAAAATTATTAGCCCCTTTCAGTTACATTTGTTTTTGATAGTCTACAGAACAAACCATCATTATACAATAACTTGCCTAATTACCCTAACCTGCCTAGTTACCCAGTTAACCTAGTTAAGCCTTTAAATGTCACTTTAAGCTATATAGAAGTGTCTAGAAAAATATCTAGTCAAATATTATTTACTGTCATCATGGCAAAGATAAAATAAATCAGTTATTAGAGATGAGTTATTAAAACTATTATGTTTTAATATATATTATGTTTAATAAACAGAAAAGAGGAAGAAATGAAACAGGGAGGCAATAATTCAGGGGGGCTAATAATTCTGACTTCAACTGTATATATATATATATAAATATATATATATATATATATATATATATATATATATATATATATATATATATATATATATATATATATATATATATATATATATATATATATATATATATATATATATATATATATATATATATATATATA